GTGGCATCAGGATTGGTGGAAGATCTATCTAACAATCTCCGTTATGCAGATGACACAACCCTGCTTGCTGAAACTGAGGAGGACCTCATGCACTTGCTGCGAAGGGTCAAGGACTGCAGCCTTCAGTATGGACTGAGGCTCAATGTCAAGAAGACAAAGATTCTCACCACTGGACCTATTGGCAGTGTCAGGATGGATGGCGAAGAGATTGAGATTGTTCACAGCTTCAGTTTGCTCAGCTCCACAGTCAACACTCTTGACACCGGCAGTCAAGAAATCAAAAAGCGTATCACGATGGGAAAGTCTGCTGTTAGGGACCTCTCTAAAGTACTCTGGAGCAATGGTGTCTCTCTAGAGACTAAGGTGCACCTGATACAGGCCATGGTCTTTGCAATCTCTTGTTATGCATCAGAGAGTTGGACAATGACTATGGAGGACAGAAGGAGAGTTGATGTCTTTGAGCTGTGGTGCTGGAAAAGAGTACTGAATGTACCATGGACTGCCAGGAAAACAAACATATTCATCTTGGAGAGGATTAAACCAAGCTATTCCTTGGAGGCAAGAATTCTGGGGCTTCGTCTGACATACTTTGGACATGTTGCCAGGAGGGACGTGTCCTTGGAGAGGGACATCATGCTTGGGAGGGTGGAGGGATGGCACAGGAGGGAAAGACCCTCTATGAGATGGATTGATTCGGTGACTGGGGTAATCGGGATGGGTGTGTCAGAGGCGGTGCGGTTGGCGCAGGATAGAGCAGGGTTTAGGGCTGTTGTGCATAGGGTCGCTATGAGTAGCAAACGACTCGACGGCACATAACAGCAATAACAACATGTTAGGCTTGCTATCATTGTTGCTAAGTAGGAACTGTCTCATAGGTGACCTTTCAGAGATTTTCGGAGGCTGTAAATTGCATGGAAGACATGCCCCATCTTTCTCTGTGGAGCAGCGAATGGATACAATCCACTTGCCTTTAAGGTTGGCAATTCAACTGCTTATCCACTAGGCCACCAGAGCTCCCTAGGAAAAGATATTAAGCATTTATTATGTGCCAATCACTGTAGACAGAAACCACATCTGAAGTGAATATCTAGAATATGGCTGAGTGTTCATTAAAACATTCATTGTTTTCAAATGTATCTATGTTCTATTAAGTAACAAGAATGAGAGAAAAATTGAAAGTTCTGTACCTTAAGAAGGATCCCTGGTGTCATCGTGGTTAAAACACTTAGCAGATAATCTTTCAAGGAGAGTGGTTTAGGTCCACAGGGAAAGATCTGCTTCTGTAAGGATTTACAGCCTTCCAGTCTGTATCCAGCAGTTCTACTGTCTATTGAAATAATATGAGTCAGAATTAACTCAACGATGTTGTTGGTAGACTGTCTCTGGTTCTACGAGGGATATTTATTGAAAGTGCCTTGCTGTACCTGGTGCAAAATTACTAGTTAAAACGAAGTATATAAACTTGATCTTAAGAAAATTATAATATTTATTTTTTAGTTGATATATTTAAGGCACCCAAGCGTCGAGGACTCTCCTTCATAGGGTTGCTATGAGTCGCCTGCGACTCGATGGCACTTAACAACGACAACATATTATCCACAGTGATTTCATAATCTTGGTATAATCTTCAAGCATTGACTGTATAGTTATTCTTTTTGTTGGACTTAACCTTGGTAATGGTGGCAATTTGTTTTATTGGCTCTTCTGTCACTCAGATCACCTGGATGAAAGTAAAGCACTGTCCCTGGATTTATTTCTAAAGCTTTCTTTTCCAGAATGTTCAATGACTTCTCAACAGTTTTAAATAGTCAATTGATCCTAGCATGTGGCTATGAGGATTTAAAGAATATATTCTGAAGTTCCCTCTGTGTTTATATAAACTGAAAATTTTGTAAAATGTAAACTGATAATGTATTTTAAATTTTAGAGAGGATCCAATAGAAAAATGGGCACAGGATATGAACAGGCACTTCACCAAAGACGACATTCAGATGGCTAACAAGCACATGAAGAAATGCTCAAGATCCCTAGCCCTAAGAGAGATGCAAATTAAAACAACTATGAGATATCATTTCACCCCAGTCAAAA